GGAAAGGGTTCGAATCTTGGAATTGCCCTGACTGTATGTCTGGGCTTGTAAACATGGCAGTTCTCGGTAAACAACTCTCACTGTTTTGTTCGACATTTTTACCTTTTACGTTTCTCTAATTATTGGTTGAATCTAGAGGTGATTGATGATGCACCGGGGCTTAGTTGGAAATGCTGGTTTCACCTCCCGTCTTACCAGTCGCCCTGGTGTAGATTTGTCCTATCAGCCTTGGATTGATAGCACTATAGAAAAAACATATATGACGCTTTCATCAAAGTGGCAAATGTCCAAACTGTCTCACAATATTCTGAAATGTTTTAACTAGTGTACTGATACTCTCTGACACCCTCACTCACTCAACAATGCACTCACTCAACCAACAATCAACCCACGCACGAACTAACTAATCAGCGAACTAACTAACTCATTCACTCACTCAACAACTTTGCACTCATTCACTCGTATTCTGCTTGTCAAAATTGATAAACTCACAGTGTATTCTTTGATCAGCAAATAATCTAATATAATTGGGCACTTTTCAAGTTCCGTCCCGCATCGTCCTCATACAACGAATAAACAGTGTTCACTCACTCACTCACTCACTCACTCAGTTGCTCGCTCGCTCGCTCCATTAAATGGTTTCCCACAAGCTCTGTTGTGAAACGGAAATTAACAGCGTCACTTTTGAACTTTTCCCGGGAGTAAACGAGTTTTTCCGAATGAAGTCGAGTCAAGTCGGCCATATTGGGCATGACTCACATCCAAATAACACGCAAACCGGCATGTACCGTCACATCTGGTAGTGTCATTCGCACAAACCCCTGCTTTCTGAGTATAAAGCATGACAAATTAATCAATCGCCAACAGCATGCAAACTGTCAAGTAAATCGTTATTGGGATTTTTTTCTCCAACGATGTTTTGGGTACTTTTTTAATAGTTTCGGGGAAAACACCCTCAACTAAAAGACTATCCAGACTAAAGAGCTGTGTTATAATTGGGCATTCGTTATTGATTGTTATTATATTTTTTTGAATAGAAGGGAGGATTGTTCGAGGTCAGTGTGAACGTGACCAGTGTTCTTTCTGATATCGTGACAAGATATTTACAAGGTAGCATTAACCACAAAGTTAATTATATGGCTCATGCGTTTTATGAAATAACCAAATACGAAGCTGAAATTGACTAATAGAAATAGGCCAACCTGTTACGACTATTACGGAAGCAAAGTATTATATTTCGTTTAATCATTCTTGTGATAACGTGATCAATATTGTAGGACAAATCGTTTTGGTAATTTGATATGGTTTACGTCGAGTTCAATCAATCCATTGCGTTGAGTTAGTAAATGGTGGGATGGGTAGATATTTGGGATGCTTGAGTGTGTGTTTCATGTAATCCAGCTATATGGTGGCAGTCTGTTAATAATCGAGTCTGGAAAAGACAATCCAGTGATCAAAGGCATGAGTATCGATATATGTGTCAATCAAGTCCACGCGATCCCGTTTGTCGCCTCTTACAAGCATGGGTTGTTGAAGACTTATTCTAACTCGTATCCTCACGGGTGGTGAGGTTGTTTGGGAAGAATGAGTTGGTGTGAGTCGATGAGCTGGGTACTTGGTACTTGGATTTGAGCTGGGTACTTGGATTTGCTTGTCTGAGCAACTGGATGAATTGTCTTTGTATTGTTGCTTGGATTACTGAATTTTCCAACATGACGGTTTAATATGTGATATAAACTGTATATATCTGGTTACTTATTGATAAATGAAAATTTAAACTATAAGTTAACGCAAAAATCTACACGCAAAACAATTCAGTATAAGCAACAAGTAACAAAGGCATGATATACCATTAATGACTACTATACAAAATTAACTATGTTTGTAAATCAATACAATTTACTGACAAATAATAAGAAATGCTTTACAAAAATAAAAAGGCAGTTTTTGGCAGGATGTAACAAAGAAATAATAGCAATAAAATCAGTAGTAAATATTTATCTTGAAGAAACTGTTTTAAAGTTCCCCAAATAAGACATAGGCAGAAAATATTATCTTCATACAAATGGTTTTTATGTGATATGCTATGATTTTATCGTCTTAAAAAGCTTCCGGGATGTTTATAACTATTCTGGATTATTCTATACTGTTCTCGAAGATTCCGGATTAGTAACTACCGGGCGACTGTTTACATTATATTGTAGTGCATTCCTGACAGCTAATTATGGTTAAAACACAATGTTATGAACCAATACTGAATTGTTACAGAAACAGAAACAGGGGAGTAGTTGTCAAACGCGGTCACCATTCCAAGGACTCTCCGTAACCGTAACAATTTAAAGACTTTAAATTTCAATTGGTCCCTGGAATAGAAATACACTCATGCCAATAATGGTTGTCAACCCCCTCCCACCCCAAAGCCCCTCACACTCACTCCCCACCCCTCTACAATTAAACAAATTGAAGGGGTGACAACCATTATCGGCATGAGTATATATTAACTGTTTCGTGAAAGTGTACCGTCTTTACCGATGTCGACCCCATGTTGTAAGCCAGGCCTTTAAACTACAATAAAACGCAATTTCTGGCCAAATTGTCCAGCTCATTTTCCGAGCACAGGAAGCGGAACACATCAACGCCCTTTCCGCACCAAATGTCTCCTACTGGAAAATATCTGTACACACAGATCAGTTTTCATTACTGGATGGGTGTGCTTTTAAAACACATAAACATCTTACACTATTTCATCCAATCACAGCTGTTACAAGTCTCTATCTCTTCAGTTGTAACATACGGTGCTTGCTCAGGGATTCTGATTTAGTCTAGTGGAACCTGAACCACTCGTGGAACCATGGCCAAAGTGGCATGACCAATTGCCTCGACGAGTCTGTCATAACTCTCTTGCCTGAGTTTGACATTATGAACAATATTTTTCCGTTTAATCCAGATGTTTCCAACTTCGTTGGGTTTATGTTTATGCTGTCATATTTAATGTGTTTTTAGAATCTGCATTCAGCGTTTTTGCACAATCGATCTCACAGAAAATGACGTACATTATTGCCGGGTTGAACGTTCAGGGTCGTTCACGAGCTAACCATCAGCGACAAATGTTGTAATGAATCCCTACCCATATATCAACATCTTGTTTCATTGTAGAATCTAGATAATGTGCAATGTTTATGGGAGGAATAAATATAGAATGTAACAGTCACAATTACATACCGTTCTTACCGTTATTACACTGAGAGCATATCAAAACCTAACTCGATTCCTTTCTATTAGTACGTTGTGAAAGAATAAAATATATCCCGACTTGTTTACTAGTGATGCTTATTATCTATCAAATACTACCATGATACAGATCGCTTCCATGGTGTAGTGGTTAGAGCGTCCGCCCGGAGAGCGGAAGGTCGCGGGTTCGATCCCCGGCCGCGTCATACCAAAAGACGTTAAAATATGGTACTTGTTGGTCCCTGCCTGGCGCTCGGCATTAATGGGTACGACAAGGACAATCAGTATAATGTGTCTGAGTGGGGTATTCATGAGTAACGGCGACATGGTATCTCAGTGAGCTAGCACTATGAAACCAAAAGTCTGGGCTAGTACAAGCAGCCACACATACACACGTACGTCGTCATTTGAGCGATATATTCTTAAGTATGACGTTAAACCCCATTTCATCTAACCTAAATATGTGTTATGCGGTTTGTGTGATACCTTCGGAAATACGGTTGTGAGAGCAATTAGGTTTTCCCCGCTTTTACAACGGCGAGTGACACCAGAAATGGGCTTCACACATAGTACCCATCTGGAGAAACGAACCCGGGACTTCGCCGTTCCAACCACTAGGCTACCCCACTGTTGATTCCGGTCTATCAGAGAACCCGTGATAGTCTCACGTGAGAAGTGACCAGTACGACGAGATTCGGTGCTATGAGAATATCCATTTGGTAGTATGTGTAATTGTCGGCCAAAACATACATTGTTAAATGGGTTTTTTTTAAATACCTTTAATAATGAATCATAATTAAATATAGTCTCAAAACCAAATCCCTACCCACCCCTACCACACGCCTACCTATAGTTGTCCTGTATGTCTGTCATTGCTACCTGATCACACACGGTGTTAGTCACATGTCCAGATTATTTGCAGTTTATTATGTCGCAGCTGCAATATTGCTGAGTGTGCAAAAAATACCATTCGTTAATTCAGTCACGTTTTAGTGCAGGTAAGAGCTGGCTCGGTTTATTTGCACAAAGCCTTCTTAGATTATTGTAGTGCAAACACTTTAACATAGGCAATATTCGCGGAACTCAGATTACTTGTGTAAATGGGCATTTTCATTTGAGTGCGGCGGTACCAATGCTTGTACTTAGATACATAGGACTTTAAACCTATTGCATCGGATCAGAGTGAGTTAGTTTAGTTTTACGCCGTTTTTAGCAATATTCTAGCAATGCCACAGACACCTGAAATGAGCTTCATACATTGTACCCATGTGGGGACTCGAACCCGAGCCTTCGGCGTGACGAGCGAACGCTTTTACCACTAGACTACCCACCGTGCCCTTATTAGAGAACGAGTTAGTTCTATTATTAAAGATAGTAACTGCAACTTGTACAGAAACAATGATATCACCACATGCATATTTTCCATGGGGGACCTATCACTATCTTGTCATTGATATGACTGATCGCAAATGCAAGCATCCGTACGCGTCAATGAACAGCATGGATCGTTATTGTATACAGCTGAAGATCCAAGGCTGACAGCTGTTAGTTCGCAATCCATTAAATCCCATAGTGTAAGCTCAAGGTAACAACCGGCATTATCCGCCTCACATTTCCAGCCAGTCTGATCCCGTAATCTCTTAGCGTAAGCTCTCCGTTTTATCCACCCCGCCACTCTTCCTCTGTCTGAAGCATGATGACATAATCGATTCCTTCCTGCTATGCACTCGTTTATCCATTCCGCCTCTACCAAGCGCCTGGATCCAGGACAAAGGATTCGTAATCTGATCACAAGTTATTGAAATACATTGTCCTTCAAAAGCGTCAATTTTGTTAGGAAATAAGATATAGGTTATGTGACGGAAACACAAATATTGTATAGCGCATATGTTACTCCCATAGCGGTGGTTAACTAAGATCAATTCCAAGCAGCCTCCGGCTAGTCGTTGCCAACAGGTGGGACGGCCTCGCGATACTTCCCTACGCTCGCTGTTCATGGGAACATAAATTGGAAGTCACGTTTCATAACAAGGCCCAGCTTTGTCGTAGGGAAGCTATGGTGGACGCGGTGTTGTGTGGTGTTTGATGAAGGTGCACTGCAATCTTGGCACGGCCTCTTCTGGTGGCACCGACCGTGGAGCATCAGAAGATAAGGGATCAGTTCTTTTGTTCCACAACCATTGATCTATGACGACATGGGCAAAAAGGTAGGCCCTTCACTTGTATCATCGTGATATGTTATTGCATGTCATGGCCAATATGAAAACACCCATTTCATGATATATTCATTGACTACCTAGACTATATGTTTTCAATTTGTTCTTCTCAAAAGATCAAGAAAAAGCAAAACGTTCCAATGAAGTATGATGACCAGTGCCTATCTGTTACCTTCTTGCAGTGCATCAGTGCTGTGTAAGCAATGCAATGATTTGCATAAAGGCAGTTTTCCCCAACTCGATTCCATTATCGAACTGTTGGACTGTTTCCATATGATGCGAGCTGATTTGAGCCTATTAGAGACAATCGCTTCATGAAAACTGTTATTATATCTTATATTGTTATCTTCAGTAAGGATGGGTAGGTAACCAAGTGGTTACTAGTAAATTGTCGGCTTATCTTCACGAAGACCCGCAAATATTCCCAGATAGGCACAATGCGTGAAGCCAACTTTAGGTTTCAACGGGCTAGCAACATTGCTGCATCTAGATCTCACGAGTTTATTTTACTTGTAAGAAGGATGCCTTGGTATTTCTATGACAACGCGTGTGACACATTCAGAATCAGATTTTCAACTTTTTGAACACACTTGCGTAATACTAAAGTCTGAATAAACCATCCCGGCGTCATATATTCTGGGTTGTTTATGGTTTCAAACAATATCCCGCCCGATACTCCGATAGTTTATAAGTGATAGCATTTCTTGTAAAGACATTCATTCCTCTATGAGCTATTTCAGGAAGAATAATAAAAAGTAGGTCAATACGATGCCTGCTTGTGGTTATTGTTTTTCGATTACTTGGCAACATGTGGTTCTAAGAGTTGCTTCCCAGTCAGGCGTGATAAGGATGACTGCCATCTCGCCATGAGTGTGATCCTGTCCCGCACTGAGCACAGGTGACAGTCATTACTCACGTAGTTTACAGATTGTTGTAGATAGGAAACTGCATGTATCGCGTTTGGGACGTGGTCGTTAGCAAGCTGTACCCTGCAAAAGACTCGTAGCTCTGAATATTGTAGAAACATTAATGTTAGGCATTTTAATACGAATTTATATACTTTAAACATGGAACGTGTTCGTTACTGAGTTGTGTACTTTTCCAAATAATTTTAGCTCTGACAATATTGTCAAAGAATATTTACTGTCAGAGATATTAATGCGAATTTTTATACTTTAGAAATGGAAAGTGTTCGTTAGTGAGGTGTGTACTTTTCAAAATAATTGTAGCAGTGAATATTGTCAAAGAATATTTACTGTCAGAGATATTAATGCGAATTTTTATACTTTGGTTATTTACCTTAAAAACAGAAGGTATGGGGATTGCATAAATTTAAGACGCGATTAGAACCGACTGTCTTTCCTTTGGGTAAAGGACGTACACAGATTAATCTAAAACATTTTAGAAAGGTCGGGTTTTAAAGAACAGTTCAATGGAGGAAGTCATTGATGAATATACCACATCCTGACTGCACTGCTTGAACATCGCATTGTCATGTTAAAGACATGCTCGGATGCTTTTCAAAAATCGTTTCGTAAAATACGATAAAATCGATACTCCACACATTTGTAATCATTACTCTTGATGAGGTTGTAAGTGCCAAATATAAAAAGCTCTCCTATATGTTTGAATCGGTTTTGAACCAGATTTGTTTCCAACATCTTGTGTTTGGTTGTATGCATACAGTGATCTCTATTGCACGAAGTAGTTTAATGTCACAGATTCCACTCAACCTATTGATAATTTTATTCTTTATAAAAAGCCCTTTCTACAAGAATGTGTGACATTCATTTAATTACCACATACAGCCATATATATGTATGTGTCATATATATGTGCATATCAATATAATATATTCACACAAAATAGAAGTTTCAGCTTTTCATTAATAGATCAAAGTAAATATCAGTAAATATCTCTTGACAGCAAGAATATAAAACGATAATATTCAAGATTGTTAACAGGTTCATTTGCCTTGTTAGTGGGCATGCTAATAGGATCCTGCACTAGTTTATAGTAAATATAAAGCATGGTTTATATCTTAAGTATAGGAAGCCAGCTTCATTCAATTACAAGCGAATGATTAACTATAGTTTCTCCAGAAGTATTGCCAGTATATCATTTGGTAAATGACAAAGGTGTTATATAGGATAACCCACGCATCTTACATACGAACGCTGGATGGGATCGTGATAGTCATTTTTCTTTGTTACTTGTTGTGTTTCCTTTAAAATCTGCAAATATTTCTAAATGTAGTAAATGTGGATGAAGTTAGTGAGTGAGTAGGCGAATGGGTAGGTGAGTAAGTGAGTGAGTGAGGTGAGTAAGCGTAGTTTTGCGCCGCATTTAGCAATATTCCAGCAATATCACGTCGGGGACACCAGAAATGGAGCTTCACACATTGTACCCATATGGGGGAATTGAACCCGGGTCTTCGACGTGACGAACGAACGCTTTAACCACTAGGCTACCCCACCTCACCTGTAGTACATGTGAATACATTAAAACTATTATACTTTTCAAAAGTTGAAACGCTCGTTAACTGTAGGGATTAGATCATCCAGACTCTGGCCAAATTTAAAATAGATTGCGACATATACCGAATATGGTTCTCTTAGTCCAGTGGTAGGTCTAAGCCTTTTATGTGACGAAACTGAAACAACACTTTTCGGTGTTTAGATGGCAATATAATGTCCACTTTACTAAGAATTCACTTCAGTGTTCTGGTATTGTGGGATTGTGTCTGCAGATGAGTAGCCGTTGTCATCTTCATCAGTGGAACACAGGAGTCTACGATATACACTCATTCCAGTATATATGTTGGCTGTGTGAATTACAGTGAATCGGTGTCATAGTGCGGTAGTTTATAATTGAGTGACCGATCTACCTGCTTTACAGCTTTACACAGTAAAAATGTACAAAATTTTGTTACTGCGAACTACCAAGACTACCAGTACCTAATATGAAAAATCCGATACGTGAATATCCGGGTTAGAATTGGTCTTCAGCAACTCATTATGGTCATAAGAGGCGACTGACGGGATCGGGTGGTCAGGCTCGCAGACTTCGTTGACACATGTCATTGTATCCCAAATGCATAGATCGATGTTCATGCTGTTGATTACTGGACTGTCTGGCCCAGATTCGATTAATTGCAGACTGCCACCGTGTAGCTGGAATATTGCTCAGTGCAGCGTTAAACAACAAACAAACAACGAATAATCCATTGTCTAGTTTGTCAAAACAATATTTCAGTATTAAGTGTGATAGGCGTATGAGTCTACATATACTTGCTGTCACTGATTTGCATTATCAGTGAACTATTTAGGTCACTGTCATTGTTTAATCTTTGGAATGTTTTTCGGCAGATATCTCATACTTACGTTTTTCTGGCGTTCACGTGAATTTACCGAAACAGTTCTCACGAATAAGGGCTTCTAAGAAATTTTATTTTTTTTTGACTAAAGTTGACAGGACCAATGAGTGTTTTGTACATCGCATTTTACATCCTACATTATACTTTAGATCACATGGTGACAATGGGACTTTAAATACGTTGTGGACGGGTGGGTTGTTGTTTATGTGGGTGGGTGGTCGGGTGTTTGGTTGAGTGAGTGAGTGAAGCTTTGCGCCTCCTTCATCCATATTCAAGTAATAATGCGATAATCTAGTGTTATTAGACTGAGTAATTTATGTTATTTGGATAATGTGCAACGTAGACCGTGAAACCCGGATTCAAACCTAAGACCACTAGTGTCTGGAACGCCTTAGGGACACAGATCTGCACAGAAAACTGTGACTTAAACAATGAGTCACTTTGTTCAAACTGACCCCTTCTTCTTCTCATTAAATACTAAGCTAATCAGAAAAGAAACAATACCGTCATGACGTTTACCAAAATGATCAAATAACTGTGGTAGCCACGTGTTGGACGCACGTCATGTTTAAATGACACGCGCTATTAGGAAAACCATTTCTGTAACATTTTCTGGGTCCAGTTGGATCGTTCTGTTAAAAGGCAAAATGACACTTTATCATCACATTAGTCCTGTGGCTACTCGTAACGGTATAGCCAGTGCAGGATCTTGTATAACACTTTCTCGGCGTCAGCACACGCTATGATGCCTTCCAGACTAAAAGGCTATGCATTCTGTCGGCTGATTCCTGTAACATTGGCACATTCCTGCATTTTCCCTTTGAAACACTCTTAGATATATGGTCTTCAAATTCGTTTGGGTACAAGTATCAAATCGAAAGAGATTGATTGTTATGTGTTAACACAACTTTCCCATTTACACCTTTTGCTTGAAGCAAGTAATGACAGACATGAAATACCTGACACCTTTCACCCATTAGTACCTGTTATTGAATGCCACCTCGATAAGTTACATTTATACGAAAACAACTTTTTGTCCGACAGAACAGTTGATGCAGTCAAATTAAATTTGCAATATCATTTCTCTTTTGCAATTATATTTATATTTTTTAATGTTCCATAAATCAAATTGCTTCAGATCTATGCTATCAAACTCAGTAATCAATCTCAGTTTCAAACACAACTATCCAGTATATCCCATAGAATCCCGCATCCCATATCCCAACCTAGCCCGGACCATCGTTACGCTCAACCTTATCCCAGTTGCCATTACATCGTCATCTTGTCTAAAGGTAGACTTTCATACCCTTAATCCGTATCAAATCAGTTCAGTCATCATTGTATCCAGTATTCGAACATAATCCCTACCTCCACCCCTTCCGCTTCCCAATTTTACATTAACATTATCCAAATCATATCTCTCACTCACTCATACACACACACAAACACACACACACACACACACACACACACACACACACACACACACACACACACATACACTTTCCTACCCACACCCAGTTCAAGTCACAATCACAATGTCATCCAAAAGTAAGTCTTAAGCAACGTGACCATCTAATGCCAATCTGCATCCTGATTCCCATCCCTCGCTGTA